GAGGGTGAGGCAGGAGAATTGCTTGAACCCAAGAGATGGAGGTTGCATTGAGCCAAGACCGTGCCATTGCACTCCACCCTGGCAACAGAGCAATACTCCATCTTAAAGAAAAGAAATTGCCAATGGTTTTCCAAAGGGTCTTTACCATGCTGAGTGTTTTTTTCTTAGCATCTTTCTAGTGTTTGTCTTCTTTACCTCTTCGCCTCCCTTCATCCCTTACAATGTTTGTCAGTCTTTAACCATAAACAAGGCCAGAGTCTGCGTGTTGAGGAAGAAGAGCAGGTCTAAGGGAGGAGGCTGGGGAAACCCACAAAATTGCAAAGAGGGTGGGGCACAGGGCTGCCCAAGAAAGATCCTTCCAGAAGGATTCCGAGACCTCTCATTTGATATTCTTCTGCGACTACACTGATGCCAGTAACTTCAAGTTGCTTGAGACGAAACGTTTCTACCCAATTAAGTTTGATCCTCAGAATAATTCTGTAAAGTGCATGCACCGTCACTATCGCCATTTTATAGATGCTGCAATTCAAAAAGTATGTGTGAGGTACCCAGGGTCAGCCACTAGAGAGGAACAGAACCAAGATGGGGCCTTAAGCTTCCTGACCATTGCCCCAGGGCTTTATCTGCTAAGAAAGGTAATAGTCACCATGTATTGATGGCTGGCATTGAAGCTTGGGCCTTTTCGATTGCACATAACCAGTGGCCCCAGTCCCCATGGTTCAGGTGAGTCATTGAGGTGACTTGCCCGGGGTTGCAGAGCCAGGAGCTGGCTGGACAGAAATGGGCCCAGAGACCCTGACTGCAGGTCCTGTGCTCATTGCCTTTTTCCATGCAGGAGAAACGAATGTTCCTTTTGTAACCACAGAGAGGAAAGAAGGTGGCAAGCCTTCCTCCTCAGGCAGGTGCTTGCTGGATTTAGGCTGGTGGGCTGAGTGTGTGAGTGTGAAGGAGAAAAGCCACGCCACAGAGCATAGGCACAATTGTGGAAATGAACTGTCTAAGACTGGGTAAGTAGGAGAGGGGATCTCCAGGCAGAGACGGTGCCAAGGGGAATATCAAGGTGATTAACAACCTCCCCAAGCGAAACCAGGCCAGGGCGAAGCTGCTGGGGGCTCATGCCAGCCGCACTTCCCATCCACATTGCTCCTGTGGCTCACCTATGTGAGTTTCGTGAGTTTTGACGACACGTACAGTAGTACAGCCGCTGCCATATTCAAGGTGAACAGCAAAGGAATGCTTTAAGGCACAGTAAACCCAGCTAGTTTCACCAAGTCAAAAGCCCACCTGTGGTCAAACCCCATCCTAGCCCCAAAAAGCAAAACTAAAAACAATGCGAAAAAGAAGAAAAACCCACCTGGTTATTTTTCAGTTCAGTTCCAGAAACCATGTATCCTCTCTCCACCCCCGTGTTTAATCCACCACCTGGTCCTGTTGGATTTTGCCTCCGTAGTTCTCTTAAATCATCGTATTCCCTCCCACCCATCTCTGTCCACACCCTGGTCCCAGATGCCTCCTCTCAAGCCTAAACCATGCAACAGGCTTCTGACTCATCCTCCATGTTCTCCCTTGCCTTCTATCTACAAAAATATAAAAAATTAGCATAATGGTGGGTGCCTATACTCCAAGCTACTCAGGAGGCTGAGGCAGGAGAATCGCTTGAACCCAAGAGGCAGGAGGTTGCAGCGAGCCAAGATCGCACCACTGTACTCCAACCTGGGTGACAGAGTGAGACTTTGTATCAAAAACAAAAGAAAAATTGCTAAGTCTGGGCTGGGTATGGTAGCTCACACCTGTGATCCCTGCACTTTGGGAGGCTAAGGCAGGAGGATCACTTGACGATAGGAGTTTGAGACCAGCTTGGGCAGCACAGGGCAACCCCATCTCTACAAAAAATTTAAAAATTATCGGGGTATGGTGGCACATGCCTGTAGTCCCAGCTACTGAGAAGGCTGAGGCGGGAGGATTGCTTGAGCCTGGGAGGTTAAGGCTGCAGTGAGCCATGCTTGTGCCACTGCATTCCAGCCTGGGTGACAGAGCAAGAAAAAAAAGAAAACAGGCCAAAAAACCAAGTCTGGTCATGCCAACGCCCCTCTCTGATTAAAACCCTTCAGTGGCACCCACTGTCCACGTGGTGGCCATTCTTCAACCACACCCACCCAGCCTTCATCCTGGTTCCCCACACCCTGTCCTGCCTCCAGCAGGCCCCTCCTTCCCACCATGAGAACCATCTGGAATGAGTGCCCCACACACAGACACACACACCAGGCCCAGAGTGACTGGCTGTCTGAGGTCTTAGGTGAGCCTTTGCCACCTGCTAGACCAGGTCCCACCAGCTATGCTCTTACGACTCTGTGGTGCCGTCTCCTGCCTGCATAGTTCTTGTCACCAGTTTATAGAGCTGTGTGTGTTGGTATGATTCGTGTCTGTTTCCTTCACTGGACTTCCCAGATGTGCCAGGACCACATCCATTTTGATCATTCCATATTTCTCGGTCAATAATTGAATATTATTCATGTTTGCCCTATTGGCAAGGTAGCCTGGCCAATAAGATTTTATCAATAATTTGTTTATATCTTGAGATAGATCATACTAGCCCCCAGTGTTTAAAGTTCTGGTTTTCATGCATAGATTTAGTATGCCTGTCATATTAATAAAACACTCTTTCAGTGGAATATTGTCTTTTGCCTTTAGAGTGGTCTTTTCATTTGTCTCACGTGAGAGCTGAATCTCCAAAATTGCACAGGCTCAAAAATCTTAGAAACGATCAGAACTGTCAGTGTATATTTTTTAATTGTGTGCCTGTAGTATTACACATCAATGATGCTCAATACATTTGTAGATTTGTTTATTATATATTATTTTCATTTGAAAAGCACGTAACCACAGTATACAGTTTAGGGAGGAAAGGGAGAAATTCATCTATCACATTACTGTTCAGCCTCTGTTATAATTTTGGTATATTTACCCTTTGGCATTTTTATTTCCATTATTTTTTTTTGTTTATTTATTTATAATTTTTTATGAGCCCTGCCTAAGCAGGACATCAAAAAATTCAGTTATAAACTCATAATTGTTCTTCTCCATGGAAATCTTTAGTAAAAGGTGAAAGATTTATTCGTTATGAAGAGAAACCAGAGCATATTTTATTTATTTTTTAAGATGGAGTCTTGCTCTGTCACCCAGGCTGGAGTGCAGTGGTGTGATCTTGGCTCACTGCAACCTCTGCCTCCCGGGTTCAAGCAATTCTGCCTCAACCTCCTGAGTGGCTGGGATTACAAGCATGTGCCACGAGGCCCAGCTAGTTTTTGTATTTTTAGTAGAGATGGGGTTTCACCATGTTGGCCAGGCTGGTCTCAAGCTTCTGACCTCAGGTGATCCACCCACCTCAGCCTCCCAAAGTTTGAGATTACAGGCATGAGCCACCATGCCCGGTCTTTTATATACATTTACATTTTCAACACTGCCGCAATCACAGTGTACATAAAATTGTGTGTCCTGTTTTTTCCCTTTAAATAACCTTATTGAGGGCCTGGCGCGGTGGCTCACGCCTATAATCCCAGCACTTTGGGAGGCTGAGGCGGGTGGATCACAAGGTCAAGAGATCGAGACCATCCTGGTCAACAAGGTGAAACCCCCGTCTCTATTAAAAATACAAAAATTAGCTGGGCATGGTGGTTCGTGCCTGTAGTCCCAGCTACTCTGGAGGCTGAGGCAGGAGAATTGCTTGAACCCAGCAGGTGGAGGTTGCGGTGAGCTGAGATCGTGCCATTGCACTCCAGCCTGGGTAACAAGAGCAAAACTCCGTCTCAAAAATAAATAAATAAATAAATAACCTTATTGATAGGTCAAATTATTATATTATACATGGTTTGATATTTATTCAGTTTGACTGACTCAATAAGCATTTATGAAGAATATACCACTCTATATGCCTGATGCCATTCAAAAAACATATACAGTGCCTTGGCTCACCAGTAATAAAATACCATAATTATGAAGTGTGCAGTGACATTATTTCATGGATGTGTCTTGTGGCATCTCCTCTCCCAGAAGCAGGAGCAGTGGTGTGGGGGAGGGACTGCTCCTTCTGGGGTCAGGGGAGCCCTCTCTTGATAGTGACATTTGAGCAGGGACCAGGGAGCAGGGAGCTGTGCAGCTGTGGGGGAAGATTCTTCCTATAGAGGGATCCTCAGGTACAAAAGCCCTGAGGTGAGAGTGTGCCTGGTGTTTTCAAGGGATTGCAAAAGGACAGTGACACCAGGGCATCATGAGGGAGGGGAGAGGAGCTGAGGCCAGTGAGCTGCGGGGAGGCCTACAGGGTCTTCCTGGCCCTGGTGGGACACCTAGCTTTTCCTCCTAGTGGGATGAGATGGTGGCATCATGACAGGATTGCCTCCGCTGTCTAGGTTTCTCTGTTCCTCTGTGGGGCCCTTCAGTTCCTGCCTTTGTCACCCTCCAGATGAGCGTGACCTCTTGCCAGGCCTGTAAACTCCCCCAGACACATGCATGATAATACACTGTGTGCGTTGCTTACACGTAAATGTGCAGGTGGGTGGTTGGCCACACCCGGCGGTGTCTCAGACTGATTTGGTTATCACTGTTCCAGGAAACTGGGCACATTCCACATACTTGAAAAACCATGCAACTAAATTTCTCATTTCTTAATCTTTTGCTCATTTGAGACCGTTGTTATTCTCTGAAAATAATGACCAAATATGTTTTTCCAATTGCATAAAAAACATAACCTAGTAAGGATTACTATTAGTCTGTGATTATTAAGCATGCTTCAACTCCTGAAATTCTAGAAAGCAGGTTTTCCTGTTGATTTTGGTTGGGGGTGGTTATCCTCATTATAAGCTTCCTTGAGTTGTGTTATGGTTAGGCCCTTCACATGCCAAAGTTAGATCCCATTAGCAGGCTTAAAACATTTATTTCTGAAAGAACAAACTGTTACAGGTTGCTGAGTATAATTGATTTCTTTTGTTTCCTTTCTGCTACAGGAGGAGACATCACAGCTTTCCCAGATCGGGAGGAAAAATATGGAATGTGTTTTACTGCTGACTGAACACAACCAAATGAACTGTCCTGACAGTAGTTTGAAAACCAGCAGCTAGCAGTTTGTCCAGCCTCTAACACTGTCCAGCACTTTCCAGCGCAAACTCACTGTTTACAAGAACTCTTGGCCTTACGCAGTTTATAACCTCAAGCTTTGTTTATTTAAAATCTTCCTGCAAAAGAAAAGTACCTGGCACCCACTTTCCAAAATGGCCATGGATGAGTATTTGTGGATGGTCATTCTGGGTTTCATCATAGCTTTCATCTTGGCCTTTTCTGTTGGTGCAAATGATGTCGCCAACTCCTTTGGTACAGCTGTGGGCTCTGGTGTGGTGACCTTGAGGCAGGCGTGCATTTTAGCTTCAATATTTGAAACTACCGGCTCCGTGTTACTAGGAGCCAAAGTAGGAGAAACCATTCGCAAAGGTATCATTGACGTGAACTTGTACAACGAGACAGTGGAGACGCTCATGGCTGGGGAAGTGAGTGCGATGGTTGGTGAGTAGCCTCTCCTCTACACCGATGGGACATCTGCCTGCTGACCCACTTCCCTACAGTACTTTGCCCATATCCATAAATGTGATTTTTCCTTTGGCTTTTCAAAAACGGGTTGGATGTTTCATATTTACTCTATTTTTGCTTTCTGCATACTAATTTATTATTTTTAAAGTTTTAAAGTGCTTAAACAGCCGGCAACCATTTATTTTCTCAACTTTTTAGCAAACTTGATTGGTAAAATCGATTTCAGCTGAGTGAATACTTTTCAGAAAGTATGAAAGAGATCTTTGTAGAATAGCACTCTATTAGTTTAGAGTTGTTTGAAGGTTATCTAAGTGAATGTGTTTTCAAGGTCAACATATGAAATTTCCAGGAAGGTCGATTTAGATTTTTTTCTTAAGGTTTTTCATCAATTAGGAAGCAATGTTTTGAAAACTTGGATGTCAAAATTAATATTTATTTATCTAACTTTTATATTCTCAGTTTAAATTCTAAAGAAGTTACCAAATAAATCTTAAGTGCTTGTGTTTCAAGAAATTCTGGTCTTTTATATGATTTGTCATCCTTTCGTTGGCTTTTGTTTTGATTTTCTGATTCTACCTCTGGGAACTCCATTTGGTATGTTTGTTTTGTTTTCCACCCAAAAAAATAATGTGCATGTTGCCTGTGATAGCATGACCTTTTATCGCAATTTTAAGTTGTCTAGATGAAGTGTGGAGATGTATGAACTGTGTGAATACGCAGAGTGGCTGGCTGGACAGAGTGATTTCCCCATGGCCTAGGCAGACAGATCCTGGCCCCATAGGTCCTCCCATCACCGCGCTCGCTACTACAGAAAAGAACCTTCTGGGCAGGCGTGCGTTAAGTGCAGCTGACAGGATTCTTTCTCTGCTTGCCTCTAGGTAGAGATGACGGCACAACAGACAGCTGATGTATACGGGTAATTTGGTTAGGGAGAAGAGGGTTAGAGAGGAATTCTACCACCTTCTGCTTTCCACAGGACATATCCTCTTGTAGGAAGAGTCCTGCAGCAGGAGGTAAGATGCTGGTGTACTGAGAATACAGCCACATTCCACGACCCCTGACTTCTTTATTTTGTAACCTGCGTTTCTTTGCTTTTTTCCTTTTTTGAGATGGAGTCTTACTCTGTCACCCAGGCTGGAGTGCAATTGCGTGATCTCAGCTCACTGCAACCTCCGCCTCCCAGGTTCAAGCGATTCTCTCACCTCAGCCTCTAGAGTAGCTGCGACTACAGGCGCCTGCCATTATGCCTGGCTAATTTTTGTATTTTTAGTAGCGATGGGATTTCACCATGTTGGCCAGGCTGGTATTAAACTCCTGACCTCAAGCAATCCACCCATCTTGGCTTCCCAAAGTGCTGGGATTACAGGCATGAGCCACCATGCCCAGCCCGTCACTTGCATTTCTTAAACACCCAGAATGTAGAGATTATTGACCAAGTTTACAATCTCCTTTTGTTACGAGGAGGCCCAATCTCCTTTTGTTACAAGGCATTTGATCAGAAGCAGCCTGGTTTACTATGGTGTATTATTCATCACACATTATAGGTCAGTAACACATGCCAGGGAGCTCCTATTTCTCAGCTTGACGATTTGTGTTGGAAAGATGTCATATTCAACTTTGGGAGGCCCCCAAGATGGGTGGACCACTTGAGCCCAGGAGTTCCAGACCAGTCTGGGCAACATAGGGAAACCCTGTCTCCACAAAAAATTTGAAACATTAGCTGGGCGTGATGGCACATGCCTATAGTCCTAGTTGCTTGGGAGGTTGAGGTGGGAGGATCGCTTGAGCCCAGGAGGTTGAGGCTACAGTGAGCTGTGATTATGCCACTGCACTCCAGCATGGGCGACACAGCCAGACCCTGTCTCAAAAAAAATTAATCAGATTCCAGATCACTTTTATTTTAACAACTATAGTCATTATTGAATTTTACTCACCTTCATGAAACATAGATATCTCAGCATAGTCAGATATAATGGAAATTTCCCTTGGAAAAATAACCATTCTTTGTAAAATTCACCCTTGATAGTTGTGATAGATATCTAGTTCTATCAAGCAGAAATTAAGACTTTTCTAATCAAGAAAACTTGACTAGATGTGTTGAAAGTATGGGACAAATCAAGAAGAACATTGACAAAATTAAGTTTTGTTTTGTTTTTTTTTTCCAAGACAGAGCGTCGCTCTGTTGCCTAGGCTGCAGTGTAGTGGCGCCATCTTGGCTCACTGCAACCTCTGCCTCCCAGGTTCAAGTGATTCTCCTGCCTCGACCTCCTGAGTAGCTGGGATTATAGGCTCCCACCACCACGCCCAGCTAATTTTTGTATTTTTAGTAGAGATGCAGTTTCACCATGTTGGTCAGGCTGGTCTCAAGCTCCTGACGTCATGATCCTCCCATTTTGGGATTACAGGGGTGAGCCACTGTGCCTGGCCTAAAACTAAATCTTTTTTTTTTTTTTTGAGGAGTCTTGCTCTGTCGCCAGGGTGGTGTGCAGTGGTGTGATCTTGGCTTACTGCAAACTCCACCTCCCAGGTTCAGGCTATTCTCCTGCCTCGGCCTCCCAAGTAGCTGGGACTACAGGCGCATGCCACCACACCCAGCTAATTTTTGTATTTTTAGTAGAGACGGGGTTTCACCATGTTAGCCAGATAGTCTTCATCTCTTGACCTCGTGATATGCCTGCCTCAGCCTCCCAAAGTGCTAGGATTACAGGCGTGAGCCACTGCACCCGGCCTCAAAATTAAATCTTAACTAAAGTTTTTCGTTTTGATGGATAAACTTTAAAGGAATGGAGCTGCTTATTAAAGAAATTAGAAATTCATTTGTGAGGCCATACTGAAGACCTCTGTGAGGCCAGAGGGCTCACTCTTCCTACAGACAGGATACCTTGTTTCGTTTCTCAGTTCCCCACCCCAGGCCTTTGGCTCTTTACTGAAAGAATGAAGGATACTTACCCCAACTAGAATTTGGGTTTACCAAAGTAGTTTGGGGTTTTGCTTGAATAACTTGATTTTGTTTGCTTTGGGTTTTTAAACATTTTTGGGGGGTATGTGGTTAGATGAATCTCAAAGCCTATTTTCTTGGGAATTTGTATGAGTTACCTAGATTCGTAAAATCAGGTTCTTTGCCCTGGGAGCTACATAAATGGAAGATGGTGGTGTAATTACCATTGGCCAAAGCCACAGCTGATGCTGTCCAGATGCCTGAGTTCTGCAGTCTTCCTCTCCTAAGTCCAGCAGGCCTTTTCTTCTTCTCCCTCTCTCCCCCGTCCTTAATTCTATTCTACTTGCTTCTTTTGTTTTCTCCTTCAGTGGCTTCTCCCCTAGCCCCTGGGCCTCTATGCTTCCTGACAGTTGTGTTCGAGTTAAGGCGGCAGAGCAGCCACTGGAATGGTCCTGAGCAATCACCTTGCGGGCTAGCTCAGCTCTGTCTGTCCGTCCTGTAGGAAACCACCAATGGCTCCAAAAATCTGAGAGTTCAAAACTCTGATCTTCTTGTGGAAAGACCCACACTAGCACAAATGAGCCAGCTCCTCCAAGCCCTTAAGAAGCGCACAACCCGCTTCAGCCCCCTCTGCCCAGCCACACTCTGTGCCACCTCACCCCTGCCCGACTGCCTCCCTGGCGCCTGAATCTTTGCTCTGCTGCTTCTTTCATCTGCACAGGAAAGGTGGCCTCCGAGATGCCCATCTCCCCACTTTCCCTAGGTCGAGTCTTGCAGCCTTATCCCGTGCTTCATCTCTTTCCTCCTTGTCGGATGCCATTACCATACATTAAAGTATGTCTTTTTCCCTCTGTTTTTCCTGACACTAATGTGATCTCATTTATCTTCAGACACCCCTGAGGCTAAGGCTCTCTCACCTACTCCCAGGCCTTGGCCCCACCTGCCCCTCCCTCAGCTGCCCCCTCTCTCTCCTCGCCTCCCTGCTGTCCTCTCTCCTCCTTCTTCCCTCTCACAGGTGGTCCCATTACTCCCTACCTTTCTTTGCAGACTCTCCTGCTCCAGGATATATTTTGTAAAGTCAACCACAGGAAATATAGCAGCTTTCAGGAAGGACAAATCTCATGATCTAAATTCAATAGTGTGGGTTGATACCATTGTCTCACATCATGAGATTATTTTAATTGTAAGAATAGAAACCATATCGTATATTTTCTAAGCTATGAATCTGTGCTACGAAACATGCTCCAAACACTGGCTTTTTTTTTTTTTTAAACCGCTAGTCCCCAAGGAGCCCAGGGCTCAGATGTGGAGGCTTAAGGACGTGTCCGTGGGTTAGGCCTGGCGCTGCCATGGAGCCCAATATGGGTTTGGCAGCACAAGGCTGGCCCCTTCTCCTCCCAAAGCACGCCCCAGGGATTGACACGGGGTCACAGCTGGCCTCAGCTCAAAGGTCAGCACGCTCAGTGCGCATGGGAGCAACTGCATGTATTGCTTCATAGACTGGGACCTACACAGCCCTTCATGGTCCTTCTGCAACTCAGATGCCTCTGAAGGAAATGCCAGGGGTCCCCTGAATACTGCTGCTGCTGCCAGGCAACCCGGTTTCCAGAATTAACGTTTGGGATTAGTAACATGCCCAGCTTATCAGCCAGGCCCTTTGTTCCCCTACAGTTCCATGGGAGCTTTTCAGCAACTGCTTCTAAAAGTGATCTCTCCCGGCTGATGCTTTTAATACTCACTGCAAAATCTGATCTGCTTATGAAAATATCTGAAGTGAACTGTAGCCTAGAAAAACATTAAACCTAGAAAAGAGTTGGTGAAATTGAGGTCAAAGGACACAAAGCCAACACTAATGGGATCCTCTTAACAATGAGGAATCAGACACACAAATAAAAGGTCCAGGATTCTGGGCAGGGGCTAACAGCAGATGCCCAAATTTGGATTAAATATCTTGGTTATTTCTCACAGGAGAGGCACCATCAAAAAGCAGTATGGGCTGGTGCAGTGGCTCATGCCTGCACTTTGGAATGCTGTGGTGGGAGAATGGCTTGAGCCCAGGAGTTCAAGATTATCCTGGGCAACAGAGCAAGACCCCATCTCTGCAAAACATTTTAAAAATTAGCTGAGTGTGGCAGCTCATGCCTGTAATCCCAGGGCTTTGGGAGGCCGAGGCAGGAGGATTGCTTAAGGCCAGGAGTTCAAGACCATCCTGGGTAACAACAAGATCCTCTCTGCAAAAAAATTTTTAAATTAGCCAGGTGTGGTAGTGCACACTTGTAGTCCCAGCTACTTGGGAGGCTGAGGCAGGAGGATCATTTGAGTTCAGGAGTTTAAGGCTGCAGTGAGCCATGATCATGCCACTGTACTTCATCCAGCCTGGGCAAGAGTGAGACCCTGTCTCTAAAAAAGAAAAAAAAAGCAACATGGTATTACACTGTCTTACATAGACAATATAACCTACCCAATATGTCGTCCTTTTCATTATGTGACCATAAAGCGTAACTATAAGAAAATCTTTTCCCAGGACGTTGCCTTTCTTGCCTTTCTGTGTTCATTTGAGTCTTTAATCTCTTGCTTGGTTTTGGCCAAACTTCACCCCAAAACGAGTTCCTCTGCAGCACCCTCACTGAAAACTGACACAGCAGTCAGTGTGTAGCACCAGGAAACTTGCCTTTAAATGCATAATCAGGCGGGGCTCGGTGCCTCACGTCTGTAATCACAGCAGCGCTTTGGGAGGCCAAGGCAGGCGGATCACTTGAGGTTAGGAGTTCAAGACCTGCTTGGCTAACATAGTGGAACCCCGTCTCTACTAAAAATACAAAAATTAGCCAGATGGGTTCGCTTGAACCCAAGAGACAGAGGTTACAGTGAGCCAAGATCAGGCCACTGCACTCCAGCCTGGGCAACACAGTGGACCTGCCTCAAAAAATAAAAAAAATTAAATTAGGCTGGGCGCGGTGGCTCACGCCTATAATCCCAGCACTTTGGGAGGCCGAGGCAGGTGGATCACAAGGTCAAGAGATCGAGACCATCCTGGTTAACATGGTGAAACACCGTCCCTACTAAAAATACAAAAATTAGCCAGGCATGGTGGCGCGTGCCTGTAGTTCCAGCTACTTGGGAGGCTGAGGCAGGAGAATTGCTCAAACCCAGGAGATGAAGGTTGCGGTGAACCGAGATCACGCCATTGCACTCCAGCCTGGGTAACAAGAGTGAAACTCTGTCTCAAAAAAAAAAATTAATTAATTAATTAATAATCATCGTCCCTGTCCTCTCTGTGTTAAGAAGGCAGAAGTATTCCTTTAACTAAAGTAATTGAGTGATTTTGTCCAGACTGTAGCACTTTGTAAAGAAACAATTCACAGAAAATGAAACTCAGAGAGATGTTATGGAGAACATTTGGATTTCTTTCCTTGGTGTGTGCACCTCTATACTCTGCATCTGATGGTTTTGTCCTTCAATCTATAGGTTCCGCTGTGTGGCAGCTGATCGCATCCTTCCTGAGGCTTCCGATCTCAGGAACTCACTGCATTGTGGGTTCTACAATAGGATTCTCACTGGTCGCAATCGGTACCAAAGGTGTGCAGTGGATGGAGCTTGTCAAGATTGGTAATTGCCATTTTCTTTTACCTATAAGAAGGAAATTTTACATTTTCTAGAGTAAGTTTTATTGCAAGTTACCTTTATATCTTTTTCTTCAAATGTTAAGGTTTAAAAGACCTAGATGGGGTTGGGCGTGGTGGCCCAAGCCTGTAATCTCAGCACTTTAGGAGGCCGAGGCAGGCAAATCACAAGGTTAGGAGTTCAAGAGCAGCCTGGGCAAGATGATGAAACCCCGTCTCTACTAAAAATACAAAAATTAACCAGGCGTGGTGGCTAGTGCCTGTAATCCCAGCTACTTGGAAGGATGAGGCAGGAGAATTGCTTGAACCCAGGTGGCAGAGGTTGCAGTGAGCCGAGTTCGTGCTACTGCACTCCAGCCTGGGAGATAGAGTGAGACTCTGTATCAAAAAAAAAAAAAAGACCTAGATGGGCTAGGTATGGTGGCTCATGCCTGTATTCCCAGCACTTTGGAAGACCGAGGCAGGCAGATCACCTGAGGTCAAGAGTTCAAGACCAGCCTGGCCAACATGGCAAAACCCCATCTCTACAAAAATTAACCAGGCATGATGGCAGGTGACTGTAATCCCAGCTACTCGGGAGGCTGAGGCAGGAAAATCACTTTAACCCAGGAGGCGGAGTTTGCAGTGAGCTGAGATGGTGCTACAGCATTTCAGCCTGGGCGAAAGAAAGACTGTGTCTCAAAAAAAAAAAAAAACACCTTGATAGTGTGGGTAATGCATTTTCCCTTAAAATTCCTGTTAATGGAGATAGTGAACTCTTACATGCTAGACAATTATTTAACTCTACTCTTTTTTTTTTTTCTTTTTTTCGAAACAGAGTCTTGCTCTGTCGCCCAGGCTGGAGTGCAATGGCATAATCTCGGCTCATTGCAACCTCCGCCTGCTGGGTTCAAGTGATTCTCTTGCCTCAGCCTCCCGAGTGTTGGGATTACAGGTGCCTACCACCACGTCCAGCTAATTTTTGTACTTTTAGTAGAGATAGAGTTTCGGCATGTTGGTCAGGCTGGTCTTGAACTCCTGACCTCAGGTGATCTGCCCGCTTTGGCCTCCTAAAGTGCTGGGCTTACAGGTGTGAGACACCGCGCATGGCCCAACTCTAATCTTTTTAAATGTTACATTGTCATCCAGCTTTGGAAATCACCCTCTGTTCTTCCCAGGCAGGTAAGACATGTATTTGACTGAAGTCAGTCTGTAGGTCAGAGAAAGACTGGGCACAATTGAGGAAGGTGCCTGGAATCCAGGAGTGTAGAGTCTTGGAGAAGCCTCAGAGTGAGCTCCGTGTTCCGTCCCTCCCTGCGTTCAACAGATCATCCAGGCCAGGCGTAGTGGCTCAGGCCTGTAATCTCCACACTTTGGGAGGCCAAGGCAAGAGGATTGCTTTAGCCCGGGAGTTCAAGACTAGCCTGAGCAACATAGCAAGACCCCATCTTTATAAAAAACAAAAAAAGAAAAGAAAAGAAAATTAACCTGGTGTGATGGTGCACACTTGTAGTCTGAGGTACTCAGAAGGCTGAGGTGGAAGGATCACTTGAGCCTGGGAAGTTGAGACTGCACTGAGCCATGATTGTGCCACTGCATTCCAGCCCCTGGGTGACAGAGCAAGACCGTGTCTCAAAAAAAGAAAAGAAGTCATCCAGCTTGCCCTTCGGGAAGAAACACTCTACCAAGTATCCTCTCTACCTTGTAAGCCTGCTCGGCAGGGACCAACACATAAGCCTGTACCTAATCTCAGGGGTCTAACAAGTTAGTGCCTGGCTCTGCTTTTAGCAAGAGGTAAATCCATTCAGCTCCACGAGTACCGACCCATCCATTGTGAAAGATACTCTTTCACTCCATCTCCATCTTCTGGGTTACTCAGTTTTTTACAAGAATCATGATGGCCTTAGGAGTCCTGGGTCAAACTGGATCCCTGACCTGCCAGGCAGGTGCACAGACCACAGGGGAACACACCTTCCACCGCAGGCTTCTAGAAGAGTGGTTCTCAACTCTGGCTGCACTTTAGAATGACATGGGAAAGTGATTTTAAAATACCAATGCCCAGACCCCATTCCCAACCTTCTAAATCAGAATTCTGGGGGTCCAGCCAGAGCCAAACTAGTTTTTGAAAACACCCCAGATGGTTCCACTGTACAGTCAGAGGTGGGAGCTACTTGGCTAGAGGCTAAAAGTTTCAGAGTTTCAGGAGTTAGATGGCAGGAGTGAAAGTACCAGGCTGGCCTTGGCAAAGGAAATGGAAGTTGGCCCAGCTCTTAAATAATCCTTACTGTTGGAACAGCGACTGAGTCTCCATATGTGTTGATAAGAAGGGCAGGCAGAAAGACTCCATGGGCGGCAGCACTCAGGATGCTGCCTTCTGAGGCCAGAGCTTGGGGCAGGGGTTCCTTGACTCTGCACTGGCGGTGTGGTCAGTGGTGCGTGACTGTGTGTTGGTGTCTGAGTTTGACCATAGATGAGTAAAGATTAGCTCTGCCAAGTCACAAGGATTCGTTAGGTTCTGAATTAAAGGTAAATAATTCTGGAGATATTTATGAATGTATGTAATACATTTTGTTTATCATTGTGTTCTATGAATGTGACCATAATTATGGATGAATTTTAACATTCATTAGATTTTTTTTTAATTATTCAGTTGCTTCTTGGTTTATATCTCCACTGTTGTCTGGTTTCATGTCTGGCCTGCTGTTTGTACTCATCAGAATTTTCATCTTAAAAAAGGTAAGTGGGGCTTCCACTTTTAATTAATCTTCAGAACTGGTTTTGGCTCTAGTCAGTAGAAATTAATCATGAGAGGGGTTAGAGGAATAATTGTATTTATACAATTAGTTCAGGCACAATTCAGGCGCAGCACCCTGCAGTTAGCATCGCATGTTACTATAAATAACCAGAAAGAGCCAAAGTAAATTACCCAGAGATTCCCCCAGAAACAAGCACTGCAAATAGTGTTTCTTGGCTCTGTGCTTCAGTTCATTAGTCAACCCTCCCAGGAACTGTGCTGAGACCTCAAAAAGGAAAGGTAATTATTTCCTGAATGTTAAACAGAATAGAATGAGATAGTGTTAAGATTTTGAAACTGTCGTTAAAAAACAGCTGGAGAGTTTCCTTACCCAAATGTGAAGGTGTTTTTCTATTTTTCATTTAATGGAGAAAGCAAGCTTGAAACACCAACTCAATTTGAGGAAAGCATAAAAAGAAGGAAATATACCTATTGGGTGCATCTTATCTAAAAAAAAGTTAGCGCTTACTGAGATCGGTGTTCTAGACACGAAAGGTGGCTTTCTTTTTTTGTTTGGCAGTCAGGAGGCTGCTGCAGTGTTTGATAACCATCACTTCCTCTGCAGGCAGGGACGTGCCCTCCAGGCTGTACCTTGCTTGGAAGCAAGCTCAGCCCTTTTCTCACATCCTTGCTTGTCCGTCTATTGAAGGGCTCATTCTCCGGGGAACACAAAGTTGCTGTCGCCATTTCTCACCCTTCCTTCTCCTGGGACCAGCTACGCTCATATTGGAAGGCACGCCCCTCTCTAGCCTGCCAGTCTTCACCCCTCCCCTCCTGTCCCTGGAATCCGTGCTCACCTGACACGCCCTATTCAGCCCTCAGGTGTCACTTACTAGGAAGCCACTCCTCTCCTCCCCTCCCCAGACTCACTTGGTGCCCTCTCTTTCGAGCTCCTGCCGCAGTCTACCTTCCCATCGCGGCACTTAGCAGGTCATATGGTGCTGCGTTTCTTGCTTATTACCTGTTCACTATTTGTCTAAGATCTGTGAGAGCAGAAACTATGACTGTCTTGGCCACTTCTGTATTCCAGGGCCCAGCACTGTGCTTAGCACTTACAAGACACTTGGTAAATATTTAGGAGGAGGGAATAATAGATGCTTGGATGGGTGGCAGATGATGGAGGGATAGATAGATGCAAAAAAGGAAGGAAGAGAGAGAAAGGAAGTGGAGGGAAGAAAGGAGACAGGTCAAATAAGAAGTCTGTCAAGGACTTTTAGGAATAAGTTATTTTAGGCCTGGTACGGTGGCTCACATCTTAATCCCAGAACTTCGGGAGGCCAAGGCGGGTAGATAACTTGAGTTTGAGACCAGCCTGGCCAACGTGGCAAAACCCCATCTCTACTAAAAATATAAAAATTAGCTGGATGTGGTGGTGCATACCTGCAGTCCCAGCTAGTCAGGAGGCTGAGGCAGGAGAATCGCTTGAACATGGGAGGCAGAGTTTGCAGTGAGTCAAGATAGTGCCACTGCACTCCAGCCTGGGCAACAGAGTGAGACTCCATCTCAAAAAAAAAAAACTAAGTTATTTGAGAAAACATACAGTGATTTAATTAAAAACACAGACTCAGGGCTGTCTACCTGCAGAAGCTGTTGGTTGGGAATCTCTCTTTAGCAATTGTTGTCCCTAAGAAAACAATGCTTTGGAAACCAGAGGCTGTAGGCATTGAGCCTCCAGCATTTTGTTTTCAGTTCAGCCTGGGTTCTTTTCACTTGCTACATCACAGGTGATCATAACTGGCTGTGTCGCTCACGCCAGGCTCCAGCCCATTCATCTCGATGTTTGCCACTTGTCTCTCCCGCCTGGTCCGGTGTGACACTCCCACACTTGAGTCTCATTCTGTCCTGCTCTTACTGTACCTCACACCTCCCTGCATTTAACTCCAGCCTCTTGACAAGTGCTCTTGGCCCCTTGAGACATTCCAGAACAGCTCCTTGATGGGCTGTGCTGTTCTGCAAACATAGCTGATTTCCACGTGTGTCTGCATTTGGCAGTAGCCGTCTTTGAGGTGCTTATCCATACTTCCGCAGCTCTTACCGCATTTTAGACTTAATTGTCCTTGGATCACAGCAGGTAGCATGTTCATGTAGGTGTGTCCTTTGTGGTTATTAGAAGTTAGTCCCTTTTTGAATTATTTGAGCCACATCTGTGTGCCAGTGCTACATTGATGGGAGTTCCTGGCCCATATTTTTACTTCAAAATTCTCTTCATATCTGCTAAAAACTCTAAATTTCTCATATTCTCTCAGATGTTGTTTAACCTAAAACATGCGCAATACCATTCTTGTTTAGGGAGTGTTATAGCAGAAGCCTAAATCAGTAAATAAATGTCGAATGTCGAATAAATTATTTGACAAGGAACCGCAGTTCTTTTTAACTTCTAATAGTTGAAGCCTAAATACTATACTTGTGAAAAGACTCAGAAAATCATAGCACATGGTACCATAGCCGAGATGCGTTGTGTAAGAGTGTCGTAAAATCTCATGGTAATGCAGTGATGCTGAAGTCATCTGACTCTGTTAGAGGATCCTTGGAGGTTGAATCTCAGATTATTTGTTGAATGTAGCCAGTGAGGGCCAAAGCTGGACTCAGCGTAGTGAACGCTGTGGGTTTTGAAGAAGGAGATGCCCAGCTCTGGGCTTTGGTCCTCCGGAACCGGCTTAACCTAATAGTTTTTTTCTGTTTTGAAGTCTGACATCAGCTCATGTGATTCCAGTGCTTAATGTGTCTGCTGGCCACAACAGTGGGCTCTTTGACACTGTGTTTGTGTGGGAGAGACGGCCCCAGCCAATGCCGTTTCTATAGAAGTGGAGCAGATCTCAGGCGGTGACAATGCCCGCCCTTTCGGCCACATTGGGGTTTGGGAAGACTTTCTTGTAACAGTATTTTGTATCATTTTGTCTGTGTTGGCTCCAAATACTGCTGGGATCCTGACCTCCCACTCTGTCCTTGTCCCACAGGAAGACCCTGTTCCCAATGGCCTCCGGGCACTCCCGGTATTCTATGCTGCTACCATAGCAATCAATGTCTTTTCCATCATGTACACGGGAGCACCAGGTAAGGTTCCCTTGGAAGCGTACTCCAGGGGCAAAGCGCATTGTATTCTAACAGTATCCGTTTATTTGGTGCTGGCCTTGTTGGCTGACAATAAAAAACATTACTCATGGTCATTATGGAATAATAAAAAGAGTGGTAAATGCATTTACTTGTTTTAATTAAATACCCAAGAGATATGTAGAGTACAAAAGTAGCAGACTTTCAAGTTAGAAAAAAAAATTAAATCCCCATTCAGCTTGCTCAGCGTCTCTGAGATTTTTTGTGGAGGGGGTTAAAAATTCTTTCTTTCTTTCTTATTTTTTTTTTTTAGCGAAACGGGGGATCTCACTCTGTTGCCCAGGCTGGAGTGCAGTGCTGCAATCACAGCTCACTGCAGCTTTGACCTCATGGGTCCAAGCAATCCTCCCACCTCATCCCACTGAGTAGCTGGGACCACAGGTGTGCGCCACCACACCCAGCTTTTTATTTTTCCCAGCAATGGGGTCTCTCTATATTGCCTAGGCTGGCATCAAACTCTTGGCCTCAAGTAATCCTCCTGCCTCAGCTTCCCAAAGTGCTGGGATTACAGGTGTGAGCCACATGGTGCCTGGCCTAATTATTTTCTTTTAGACCTCGAATAGGAAAAGAAAGAAATTTGGGCATGGTATTCTTATTTGCACCCATTTCAGCATTGATGAGCCGGCAGCATTCTGTTAAATATTTCTGTCCATGTTGGGTAGAGCATATTCCTCCTCTATTTGTGAGATGCGCCTCCTACAGCCAGACTGTGGGATGTGTGGCGTCAACAGATGTGTTAGTTTGTGTTGATTTTTATCTTGTTAATGTCCTTTATGGATGAGGATTCAGTTATTAGCCATATCTGACAGAAAAGCCTCCCTCTCTGTGTTTTAAAGATGAAATTTCTGTTAAATGACGTGTCCTATCATAATGAAAAAGTGCTCTCTTCCAAAATAGTGGAAATCTTTATTACTTTCTCAAACTAGTTCTTCTCAACGTAATGTTTCTGACAGTTTATTACACATATCTAATTATATTTTCTATGTTTCAGTATTGGAAATAAATTCTTTCTAAATGATTCTAACATTAGATAACCTTTTTGTGGCATCTGTGCAGCATTTAAAACACTGATCTTAAAGGTTTGAATACTTACTGTGCAGCTTCCAGGCTTTGGGTGATTTGGGGATGAGGAAGGGAGAGCGCCACAGCTGCTCTAGGGGCTAGGAAAGCAGGAAGCAAAGGTTGTAGGGGTGAGGAGAGCAGGAGGAAGGTGAAACCCCAGTCACAGGTAACAGCAGCCTGCTGCCTCTTTCAGCTTTATAATTCGTGGACTAGGAAGTGTGTTTGTCACTGCTTTTTGAAATATGTGCCCCATGATAAGTTTTTTTTTTAAACTGAGGCCAGGTGCAGTGGCTCACACCTATAATCCCAGCACTTTGGGAGGCCGAGGAAGGCAGATCACTTGAACTGGGTCAAGAGTTCGAAACCAGTCTGGCCAACATAGTGAAACTATGTCTCTACAAAAAATAGAAAAATTAGCCAGGCATGGTGACACATACCTGTTATCCCAGCTACCCGGGAGGCTGAGGCAGGAGAATCGCTTGAACCCAGGAGGTAGAGATTGCAGTGAGCTGAGATCCCACCACTGCACTCCAGCCTGGGTGACAGAGCAAGACTCCATCTCAAAAACAAAACAACAAAAAACAATTTTTTAAGTGAGTGACAGAGAAAAACCAGTTCCACACCACGGAGTTGAGCACGCCACCTAGTGTGTGAATCCTTCAGGCATCTCTTAGTGCCAGGCACTTAGAAGGCCCGGAGCGCTGGATTGGAAGTGAACTCTATAGCGGGAGATACCTTAGACCTTGTTCTTATTTTATATGGGCTTTTAGAGCTGAAGTTAGCTGAGCAGAAAGCAAAGCGTCCGCATTCACCAGGTGCCTCCTGGGTTGGTGACTTAGGAGCCTGAGCCAGTGAAAGCTGAGGATGCCTTCTGTGGTGCCAAGTCCTGAACATGGGAATTGGCATCGATATGGATGGGGTTTGTTTCTGCATTTTATTTTTTCCACCCTCTATTCTTTTTGCTTCTTGGCTCTTCTTCCAACTGTCAGAAGACAATTCTGATTTTTAATACAAATCTGACTTTTTCTATACATGGCCTTTTTTTCCCATCTCTTCTTGTCCCCATCTTTTGGCTGCAGTTGGCACATTTGCTAAAAGTGTCATCTTACCAGGAGAGTAAATTACCCTAGGGGAAATTAAAGTATGTGATGAGTGAGACTCTAAGAGTAGTATAAATACTGTATATGGTTGTCGTGAGAAATAAATAATATGAATGTATTGAACCAAGCTTTCCGTGGATTAATCCTTTTAGTCCTCCCAACTACTCTTGGAGATTGGTAATACAAATAACCTCATGCTACAGGTTGGAAACGGAGTTAGGGCCATGCTCAGTGCCCAAGGTCCTGTAACTGATAGGATGTAGAACCAGGATTTGAGCCAGGCGTCCAGTCCTGAGCCCCAGCGTCTTAGTTGTGACATTATACAGATACAGGTCCCTTCAAACACCACATATAATGCCTGGTATGTAATGTTGCTGTTCATGACAATAAAAATTGCATCAACCTTAAGAAATTCTTTCTCTTCTCTTAACTCCCTTTAAAAATGTCTTCCAGTATATTTGGAAACCTGGCTAATACACACACACACAAACACACACACACACACACACGCACACACACACACACACACGCACATATTAAGATGGAGTCTTGCTCTGTCTCCCAGGCTGCGGTGCAGTGGTGTGATCTCGGCTCACTGAACTCTCCGTCTCCTGGGTTCAGGGATTTTCCTGCCTCAGCCTCCCAGGTAGCTGGGACTACAGGCACGCACCACCACACCCAGCTAATTTTTTTATTTTTAGTAGAGACAGGGTTTCACCATGTTGGCCAGGCTGGTCTTGAACTCCTGACCTCAGGTGATTAGCCTGACTTGGCCTCCCAAAGTGCTGGGATTACAGGTGCGAGCCACTGTCCCTGGCTATTTTTGTATGTATTTAATACCCTAGTTAGTGTGAAGAAGCCTCTACCTCCTTAACTAGGAATATAAAAAATCTGGGCTGGTGATGGTGGTTCACACCTGTAATCCCAGCACTTAAGAAGGCTGAGGAGGGAGGATCACCTGAGGCCAGGTGTTCAAGACAAGCCTCGGCAACATAGCAAGACCCATCTCTACAAAAATAACAATAATAATAATTGTAAAATCTGTACGGAGGAATAAAGGCTATTATGAACCATGATCATGCCACTGCACTCAAGCCAGATGACAGAGCGAGACCCTGTGTCAAAAATCGGTATAAGGATCTTGAAGTTCATTATTCCCTTGAAGCACAAGCAGTATTCCCAGTCCTGAAGTTGGCGTTAGGTTCTATAGTTGGGTGGCTGTTCTGTGGGAATGTGACATCACCTCCCCTCCCTAAGTCTTATTCCTGATTATAAAGTAAGGCCACGAGTAGCATCTCCACTCAAGGGACACTACAGTCCCTGAGATAATGCAGGCAGGGCACCTGACACAGTGCCTGGCACATCATCAGTGCTTCATACGGTCATTTGATTTGTCCCTTCCTCTCCTCAGAGGTTGGCTCCAGGACCTCCATGGATACCAAAGTCCACGGATGCTCAAGTTCCTGAAGTTGGCCACCAGTATCGCTGGACCCACGGATGCAGAAGGCCAACTGTGCCTGTTAGAGGCTATTTTGTTACCATCAGTCATAATTAACCTAATCCAGTCTTTAGGCCTTAACTTGCCAAAAACTCCTGAGTCATCCTGTCTTTGTTTTTCCACACATTTTTGTATGGAAAAATTCTTACTTGAAGTTTTTTAAGGGGCTGGCCTAGAGGAGAAGAAGGTCATGGCTCTGAAGGTTCAACCATTTTTTTCTTGCAATGAGTCAAAAGGACTTTGCTTGGGAGGCCGAGGCGGGCGGATCACGAGGTCAAAAGATCTGACCACGTTACCATTCTGGCCAACGTGGTAAAACCCCGTCTCTACTAAAAAAAAAAAATACAAAAATTAGCTGGGTATGGTGGCGCATGCCTGTAGTCCCATCTACTCAGGAGGCTGAGGCAGGAGAATTGCTTGAACCCGGGAGGCAGAGGTTGCAGGGAGCCGAGATTGCGCCACTGCACTCCAGCCTGGCGACAGAGCGAGACTCTGTCTCCAAAAAAAAAGGACTTTCCTAATATTTTGATTCCTAGAGAATGTTTCTAGAATGTCCTTTTATCCTTCAATCTAGACTTGAAGTACATGCTGTTTCTTCAGTGTGGATTATCTCTGCAAGTCCAGCTGTGTCTTCAGCAATGGTGGTGTCCTATTTTGTGTTTTTGGTGTTTTGATTTCCTCTGCTCTCTACTCTGATTATTGTGAAGTTAATTGTTTCTTAGGCTTAGTTTGATTTCTTGCAACCTCTGCTTCCCGGGTTCAAGTGATTCTCCTGCCTTAGCCTCCTGAGTAGCTAGGACTACAGGCACATGCTACCACGCCCAGCTAATTTTTATATTTTTAGTAGAGATGGAGTTTCACCATTTTTCCTCAAATAAAAATCATTCTTCCACTTCAAAGACTAAGTTCACACTTTGAAAAAATTGTCTTTGACTTTTTTTTTCTTAAAAAAATTATTTGCAAGGACCAGAAAAATAACTTTAGGAAATGAAATGCTTACTTGGGATGGATACAAGCCTAAGGTTCAATTTTAATGCAAACGTCTTCAGTTGTGTGGGGCCTGGTTTTTGTTCAGTGTTGAAACAGTGAATGCTAAATTTCATGGCATGCCCCTTTGAACAGTCAAAGCAGGTACCCAGTTAAGCCTCTGGTAGGCACCTTCTAAGGCAATGTGTGGTCCCGGCCAGCAGCAGCATGCGAGAAGTTGTCAAAATGCAGATTCTGAGGCCCGGCCCTGGACCCACTGAATGGGAGACACTGCAGCCCAGTGATCTGTGCTTTAA